GCAGGGGTGTGGTCACAGCTCACAGTAAGCTCAAACTCCTGGGCTCAAGCAATCTTCCTGCCTTGGCCTCCCAAGTAGGTAGGACTGCAGGCGCACACCACCATGCCAGCTAATTAAAATGTTTTAAATTTATTTTTGGTAAATGGGATCTTGCTATGTTGCCCATAGGCTTTAGTGCTATGTTAAGCTAGTAATTATAGTGAACATTCTTGTCTTGGGTACCTGAGGTTTTTCCATTATGTATACTGGTGGTTACAGATTTTTTGGAATATAATCTTTACCAAAATAAGAAACTTTTGATTCCTGCTTCCTTAACTGTTTTTCAAAAATCACAAATGGATATACTTTACCAAATATCTTTTATTAATAGACTGAGCAAAGGAAATGACTTTTCTGTCTATGAATATGGTGAATTATAGCAACGATATGTTTTATTATATTGAACCACCCTAGTATTCCAAGGATTCCCTATTAGATCTTGATGTATCATTACTAGCATAATCATTATTATTATTGTTATTATTATACATACTTTTAGAGACAGGGTCTTGCTCTGTTGCACAGGCCAAAATGCAGTGGTGCAATCATAGCTTACTGCAGCCTCAAACTCCTGGGCTCAAGTGATCCTCCTGCGTCAGCCTCCCCAGTAGCTGAGACTCCAGGCGCTCACCACCACACCTGGCTAATTTTTAAATTTTTTGTGGAGACAGGATCTCAGTATGTTGTCCACACTGGTCTTGAACTCCTGGCCTCAGGCGATCCTCTCACCTTGGCCTCCCAGTATTATTATTTGTAATATTGTTGAATTCGGTTCATAAATAATTATTTTGTCTCCCATCTGTGTTCAAGGTGAAACGGGCCTATTATTTTCTTTCCTTGAGTTTTCCACAACTCAATTTTGAATCAAGATTACATTTGCTGATAAAATTAGCTAATCAGGTTTAATCTTTTTTCTATTTTCTGGAAAAAATACATGATATAGAAGTTTCATGTTCCTCGAATGTTTGATAGAACTCATCTGTGAAACCATCTGGGCATTTTAAAAAATATAAATTTTTATTAGAGGTCATTGATAACTTTAAAAATTGCTTTAATACTTACTGGTATAGTCAAATTTTGTATTCTTGTGCTAATTTTGATAGATGAAATGTTTCTAGGAATTTACCTATCTCACCTAGGTTTTCAAATTTATTAGCATATACTTGTTCATAATACTCTACGCTTTCTATCTGTGTCATCTCTGTAGCTGTTCCCCCTTTTTCATTATGTATTTGTTTATTCATTTTTTCTCCCGTTATCCATAATCAGCCTTGTTGTAAGTGAATATCTTACAAATATTTTTAAATAAGCAGCTTTTGGAATCAAAAGTGTGTTAATTTTCATTACCTAGTTTTTTGTTCTCTATTTCTGTTTCATTGCTTTCTATTCTTTATAACTCCTTTTCTTCTTATTTCTTTAGGTTTGCTCAACTTCTTTTTCCAAAGTTTTGAGTAGAATTTTTAGGTCATTTATTTTAACTTTTCTTGTTCTAATAAATTTGAAATTATAACATTATTTTATATGTATATTTTATCTGTAACATTTTTACCACCTGTTTTAAAAATAGTTAATTTTCTTTATAACTGCTATTTATTTATTTGACACACGGTCCCACTCTGTTGCTGAGGCTGGAGTTCAGTGATGCAATCATGCCTCACTGCAGCCTCCATCTCCTGGACTCCAGTGATCTTCCCATCCACGACTGCCTTTTAAATCCATGTTACTGATAAATATATTTGTTCACTTACAATCTTAAGTATATTTTAGTTATCAAGTTCTAATTTTATTACAGTATAGTTGCAGAATATAGTTTGTTTCTTTTTTTTTTTTTTTAGACAGGGTCTTACTCTGTTGCCCAGGTTGGCGAGCAATGGCACAATCTCAGCTCACTGCAACCTCTGCCCCCTGGGTTCAAGCGATCCTCCCGCCTAGCCTCCTGAGTAGCTGGGACTACAGGTGCACCCCATCCAGCTAAATTTTTTGTAGAGATGGGGTTTTGCCATGTTGCCCAGGCTGGTCTCAAACTCCTGGGCTCTAGGGATCTGCCCACGTTGACCTCCCAAAGTGTTGGGATTATAGGCGTGAGCCACTGCTCCTGGCCTAGAATATAGATAGTTTCTAAGATACTGATACTCTGGAATTTATTGGAATTACCTTTATGGAATGATGCATGGCCTATTTGAGTAAATGTTCTGTGTGGCTTGAACTATTACATATAATTTTTGGCTTTTTGGCAACTTTTAAAAAATGAATCCTATGAATCTTGTACCTCATTTTACTTCCTTCTTTGCTTTCACTATCCTATGGCCCAGAACCAATTATTTTGTATCCATTTATAGTTGGCTGATAAATATGTGTCCTGTTAAACTGGCTCTCAAGAAAAACAATGCTTCTGACTTGTAGCATTGCTGATTTCTATAGTATAAATACTTCCACCGTGGTATCAAGTTACCAATAGTTAACAACTGTCTTCAAAAATCCTGAATACTTTACAGTCTGCTCTTGCTAGCCAGTATAAGACAGCACACCACTATTTTTTTAAAAGATATTCATGTTGTCCATTAGTTTCACTCCTTGGCTTCACTTATTTTCTTAACCATATTTTCTCTTTGACCCAATGTTGTTTTCATCTTTTAAAAATTGTTTAAAATTATGTCTGTAAGCTGCTACAAACTTTTTATTGGAATGAAGAGCATTAGAACAGTTATTTGGCCAATGCAGAAAAATGAAGTCTTCTAATTTTTTTTTTTTTTTTTTGAGATGGAGTTTCGCTCTTGTCGCCCAGGCTGGAGTGCAATGGCGCAATCTTGGTTCACTGCAACCTCTGCCTCCCAGATTCAAGTGATTCTCCCTGCCTCAGCCTCCCGAGTAACTGGGATTGCAGACACCATGCCCAGCTAATTTTTGTAGTTTTAGTAGAGAAGGGGTTTCACCATGTTGGCCAGGCTGGTCACGAACTCCTGACCTCAGGTGAACCACCCGCCTTGGCCTCCCAAAGTGCTGGAATTACAGGCGTGAGCCACCACGCCCAGCCGAAGTCTTCTAATATTAAAAGATTTAATCTTCATTCAGTTCTCAAAGTCTTTGCTGTGCCCTTAGGGCATGTCACATGCATGTGCAGCTCAGGGGGAACCTGGTACTCCTGAGGGTTCAGACTCAGAATTAGGGAATTTCATCCTGCACTCTCAGTTTGGAGATTCCCCTACACATCCCCGCCCGCAGGGGCCCTTTTTCTTGGTTCCTCTGGCCAGAAAGCTGGTATTTCTCTTATTGACTCAGGGCTTGTGCTGCCACGTAGTGCAGTTCTGCACCTGAGGCCTGATGTCAGGGCAGAACTGGGAGAAAAAAGGGGAAAACACTGAAAACCCACTCCCCAGGAGGGGCCCCCCTCCAAGTTTTGACCCTCTTCACAATCCACCTGCTTTTGTTTACTTTTTGGAGTCCTTGAGTACTTGCTTTTTGTATACTGCCCAGCATTTCTACCTGTGATCAGCGATAAAAATGGGCTATTAAACTAGTGTTTTAAAATCTCAAATAAGTTAAATATCATGGCTAGAAACAACTCCAGGCATTTGTAATTTTAGATTTTTTCTTTGTACTCCAGGGGGATGTGACTGTTTTGGAGTATTTTGAATTGGTATGTTTAGCCTGAGATCCTACTAGTATTTCTGTTGAATATGCCTGTTGACTGCCCACTTGTTAGCAAAATGGCATTGAATGTTGGAACTGCAAACTACCTTAGAAATCATTCAGCACCATCTTTTGACAGAAAAGGACATGAGAGTTCACTTCCGTCACTTAGGAAGTGCAGGGCAAAGATAGAAGCAGAATTCAATTTGTTTTAATACAGTTACTTAGTCATCTGGTAACAGTTTCATAAGTGCCAACCAATGTATGGGGCTATTTGTTGCAGATTTCAAGATGATATATGGGGATTGAGGGAATGGGAAGTTTTAGGGAGTGGTAGAGGAAGGGCATATAATAAAACTAAATCCCAGGTCCCAGCCTCAGAACTTATTTTGTGACCTTGGTCAAGTGATTTAGTCCTTCTAAACCTCTATGTGTCCTATAGAAGGAATAATACCTATATAGGGTTGGGTGTTTTTGTTTGTTTTTCTTTTTCTTTTCTTTTCCTTTTTTTTTTTTTTTTTGTTTTTTGACATAGGATCTTTCTCTTTCTCTGTCACCCAGGCTAGAGTGCAGTGGCGCAATCACAACTCACTCTAGCCTCAAACTCCCAGGTCTAAGTGATCCTCTCACTCAGCCTCCCAAGCAGCTGGGACTACAGGCGTGCACCACCACATCCGACTAATTTTTAATATTTTTTGTAGAGACGGGGTTCTCACTATGTTGCCCAGGCTGGTCACGAACTCCTGGGCTCAAGCAATCCTCCTGCCTTGACCTCCCAAAGTGGAGGGATTACAGGGGGTTTTCTGGTTTGAATTTTAAGAGATAAAATTTATAAAACATTTAGCCAATGCCATAAATGTAGCTTCTTTTGGTTATTGTCACTATTCTTTGAAATTCACAAGTGCCCCAAAATCTTTGAGCATTTTTCACGTATTGCTCTTTAATGTGAATGAATGCGTTATGAAAGGAATTATTTTACGTGCGGGTTTGCTGATAAACTTAGCTAATTCTCATGTGTGCAGGTGTCTTGCCTATCTGTCAGTCTTAGCTTCAAAGGAAAGATTCCCACCACCTCACTTGCATCCTCATCCCTTGGGCACAAGAATAAGAATTTTTATTGTTTGTACTACTTCAAAATCATTCAGTACGTGATGACCTGTCATGTAAGGGCTCTTTATACTTCTAGTTTAGTCCCTTTTGTTTTCTCTAGGAAAGATGTTTTAGACCTGCGACAAAAGAAGAAAGAGTGTATGCTGACATCTAGGAGAGAAGAAGCGCCCTCCCCTAAGCTCCATCTCCCTGAGCACTCATTTCCCAACGACCGTACCAGGTTTTTGTCCTAGAGAGTTTATTACAAAATAAGAAAGAGAAGTCTGGGGAAGGTTCACTCATCATAGAATTTTGGCAGCTCATTGCCCAAGATGACTCGATGGTCCACACCAGCAGCTGTAATAGTGACCAGGTAGACGACACCCCCGCTTGAGCCATCCCGGCTCATGGCCAGAGCAATAGCTGCAGAGGGTTTCAAGTTGGAGAGAGGGAGAAAGAGAATGGCTTAGCTTCAAAAATATTTTTATTCCCCCTCCATCCATATGCCTACTACTGCTTTCACCTCAAAACTCATCTATCAGAAAGGCATATTTAGTGTTGTGCTGGTAAGTCAGTTTTTTTTAAAAGGCTTCCATATGTGGCATCTGCTGATGTCCATGATGTAAATGCTCCCACTATGATCAATTGCAAGTTACAAATAGCTTAACGAGCAGCTCACAAATCCTTGACTATTTAACAATCAGCTCTCATGAGCAGTCCCAAGCCAGCCTCAGCACACCTCAGCACACCACTGGTTCTTTTTTTTCTTCAGACAGGGTCTCACTCTGTCACCTAGGCTGGAGTGCAGTGGTGCAATCACCGCTCACCACAGCCTTGATCTCCCCAGCTCAGATGATCTTTCCTCCTCAGCCTCCTGAGTAACTGGGACTACAAGTGTGCACCACTATGCCCAGCTCATTTTTTTTTGTTTTGTTTTGTTTTATTGTTTTTTTGTAGAGACAGGGTTTCACCATCTTGCCTAGGCTGGCCTCAAACTCCTGGGCTCAAGTAATCCTCCTGCCTCAGCCTCCCGAAGTATTGGCATTACAGGTGTGAGCCATTGTGCTTAGCACACCACTGGTTCTTACAGTGACTGTGTATCCTCATTTGATTTACTCAGAACAGCCCTGGTTTATCCGTATTGCCCAAGAGCCCCATTGAGCTTTGCATTTGTCCTGCCCCTTTTCACGTTTAAAAGTGTACTAGTTTGGGCATTAACTTAAATGGTCACCCCTGTATTTCTATTCCTGTTCCTCATAATCTACTTCCTTCCCATGTTTAAAAGCCCTCCCCAGGTACCCTTCCACTTGGCTGGTTACCGTCTGTGGTGAAGCGCCTGCACTCCTCTGGAGACATGCCTGGCTTATATGCTGCATCCACATAACCGTAGATATAGGTGCTGCCGGAGCCACCAATGGCAAAAGGCTGTCGAGTCAGCATTCCTCCCAGGGTTCCATATACCTGGGAGAGGGATCCTCAGGTTAAAGAATCATCAAGCCCTTCCTTCCCACTGAGACATTAAGTGGTCTCTGCACCCTGCAATGAAGCCCTGGTATCTCATGTCCCAAATGTACTATACTGTCAGAGGTAGTGTCCTTGGAACTCATTGCTAGAATGACATAGGGCTTCCATCTCCCTCTCCAGGAGAGTGGGGAAGCCCAGAGGAGAGAGCGCTTTGGGAGAAACTCACCTGACCCCCTTCACGTTGGTCCCAGCCAGCTACCATGAGATGTGCAGACAAGTCCTCTCGATATTTGTAGGTGATATTTCTCACCACATTTGCAGCAGCCAGAACAAGGGGAGGTTCCTCCAGTTCTATCCTGAAGGAAATATTCGGAATAAAGGTTGATAGAATTTTAAGTCTCACTCTCCTATACTGTTACCATCATCCCTGCTAAACGAACCCTGAAAACTATAGCTGCAATAGCTCAAACTGCAGCCTCCCTCCCACATGTACAGGGGAACCAGAGTCCCACACCACCAACTGGTAAGAACCCTTCAATTGCTCACTCTCTTTTGCTGAGCCCCACCCACATAACTTTCTTTTGGCTGCAAGGGTCCTGCCCTTATGGGGAAAAGCAGATAAGGTTACTTCCATCCCAACGACCTTGATTTCTCATACGGTAACTGCCTGAAATTAGGGTGGGTCACAATATCACCTTCTTCCTGATTATTTATGTTAGGATAGTGATTTACAGCTTTTAAACTGTGTTTGCATATATAACCGTCTCATAAGGTACTATATTGTCTCCACTTTACAGATGCAGAAACTGGCAGATTCAAGTGCCAGCAGGAGCCAAAACAAGAATCTTTCATTTCTTAGTGTCCAGCTCCTGGAACAGCACACTGTACAGGGATTCATGCAAGCTGGGGGAGCTCTAGTGGGTGGGGAGTCAGAACTCCAGAGCTTCATACCCATGGAGCTCCAGCTGGTAGGCAGCCATGTCGGCCACGGCTTGGGCATCGGCAGCTGAACCGGAGAGTGCACAGTAGATGCGCTGGTGCAGGGGGGACAGCTTGTCAAACACTCGGTTCACCACCGCCTCGCTGTTAGGAAGGAGTCAACAGTCACCAAGTTAAAACTCAGGAATTTTTTCTTTTTTTTTTTTTTTGAGACAGAGTCTCACTCTATCACCCAGGCTGGAATGTAGTGGCGCAATATTGGGCTCACTGCAACCTTTGCCTCCCGGGTTCAAGTGATTCTCCTGCCTCAGCCTCCTGAGTAGCTGGGATTACAGGCATCAATCACCAAGCCCGGCTAATTTTTGTATTTTCATTACAGACAGGGTCTCAACATGTTGGCCAGGCTGATCTTGAACTCCTGACCTCAAATATCTGCCCACCTCGGCATCCCAAAGTGCTGAGATTATAAATGTGAGACATTGCACCCAACCAGAACTCAGGAATTTTTGAGGGTGATCATTCAATGTCTCTCAAATTTATTTGACAAGAGAATAGCATGAAGTTTAATGCTTGGATTAAAGCAGGAGGCAAATAATCATCTCAGATATTATTAATCACTACAGATGTTAATGAAAATTAGGTGTATTTTTCAGGCTTAGATTTTATAACAAAGCAAAAAATGCTAAGGTAAGAAAAATATGCCTCATCAATTTTTCTTTGCTATTAACAACCTATGCTATTAACATAGAACATAACTATGTTCTATGGAACATAATGTAAGTAATATTGACCTAACCCTATATACTCATTTTGCATGTGAGGAAATTGGTTAGGAGGCGGGGAAGAGACAACGTAGTTCAATATATGGTAAATGAGAAACCAGGTATCTGCTTGACAGAATCATCTTTTTGATCTCTAAATACAGATGGAAAGAAGCTGCTCAAAAATCTGTCTCCTGACCCCCACTCAGACCCTATTCCTTTACACTCATCCCTGTACACTACTAGGACAGGTCACATACGCATTCAGACCCCAGATCCTCCTCCACAAACTCAGAGACCCAAGCGCCCACCAAATAGCTTATCCTAGTGGCTTTTTGGGAAGGTCAACTCCATTCCTCCAAAGCTCCGATTTGCCAGTCTTTTCATGAATGGGTAAGAAAAATGTGTATTTGAGGCCATTAGCTTCTTTCCAAATGCATACATCTTCACTTTTACTTACCCTGCAGACACTCGGGAATCAGAACCCACCACAACACCCCCGTCAAACTCTACTGCCATGATGGTGGTCTGCAGAGACACAGAATATGGAATATCAGGGCAGGAAGAGCCTTGATGCCCTCATGTTAGAGAAGAAAAAATATTCCCAGAGAGGCGAAGTTGACTGGCTCAAAGATCACACAGTAACAGGCCAGAGCTGACTGTCAGTACAGGCTTTTTTCCCTTCATCTTTCCACTTTATCTATTGCTTCATCTGGCTGCAGGGGAATGCCACAGCGCAGCTGTGATACAACACAGAAAGAACAGTGGCCCTGAGTTCCAACTTGCCTAGTGGAATCCTCTCCACTGTAAAGAGAGAGGTGGAGATGAGGTTCCTACAGGTAGAAGTGAAGCAGCTCCACAAGTGAAAATTATCTCCACGGGAAAGGCTCCTAGTATGTGCAGATGTGGTTTAGACCCAACACAGAGCATTTGACTATGATTCTGGGAAACAAGGTCAGCCTTTTCTTTTCTTTTCTTTTGTTCACAATCCTCCACTCTCAACCCCCATTTCATCAGAAGTGAGCTCTTTCAATTTATTGAACAGTGGAAAAAATCGAGGAGGGCAGTGGTTAGCATGGCCAGCGGCAAGGCAGGAGAGAAGCAGCAAGGAACACATAGATGGTTTAAAATAAAAGTTTCAGTTATGGAATTTCTGATCAAGAGGTAAATAAATATCTCAGCAGCCAGGGGGGTAAATTTGTACCAAGAGAGGATTTGACTGAGAAGTTTAAGTTGACTTTTCCAGGTCAAGAAAAGAATCAAGAAAAAGTGAGGGGAGATAGAGCTACATTTTTCCTGCTGCTGAGTTGGAAGGAGTCTTAAAGATCCTCGGTTCAAATGAGGAAACCAAGTCACAGAAAATGCAAACGACTTATGCAGAGTCACACAGAATTAATAGTAGACCTGGGACTAAAATTCAGGTCTAACTCTTATCCCTTGTTTCCACTTCTACTTCCTACTTGCCACTGCTCATTTGGCAGTGAGGGGAGATTTCCCAGAGTATAAGTGGTTTCACTGTGCCTTTCTTACCAGGCTGTAAATTACTCTGGCCCCAAAGGACGCTTCTCTGAGTGTGCTTTCCGACAGACCCACTTATCATGAACAGAGGGTCAAAGAACAGGGTTAACTTCAAGTTAGAGGCTATTCCTCTGTAACAAAGCTGCCCCCAAGCCACGAGTGGTGGCAGTAGTCCAGAGCAGAAGCCAGCCAGCCAGTCTTGGGGCTGCCATCTGCCCCAGGCGCCCATCCTAAGCAAAGTCCCCCCCGTGGGCACATGGGAGTGGGCAGGGAAGACACAGGGAAGGGAGCAAGGCAGCATCTGGGCCAAGGAGGAGCCTTTCTGGGTCAAGCTAGGGAAGGGCATCACTGGTTAACGCAGAACCCCCATTATCAGTGCTTGGGCTAAGAGTTACCCAGTGGCAAGTTTATCAAAAGTCTGTGTGATGAATTGGTCCTTCTCAATAAGTGCCTATATTTCCTTCTCCCAAGTGCTGTTCTACTTCACCCAGGGAACCATTTCCTCATCTCTTTGCACCATCCCCAACCCCCTTTCTTGATTTAACCAGCCCCCACTGTCTGGGACCAGAGTGAAAGCGAAAGCGCTTTAGAGTAGCTTCCCCTTGACGCTTCCAGCTAGGAGTCAAAGCACCCCCTTTTCCACCAGCCTCGCGTGCCTGGTCCCTTCACGGACACGCTAGGCGACCCCCCCCCATCCCCCAAGAAAAGAAATACCCTATGCTGACTGCGGGCTGCAAGCACTGGCTGCTAGAGGCTACCTCCCTACGTTCCCGTCGGTCTCTGCATTCACTTCTCCGCGCTTCCAGGGTCCCCTGGCCGGTACACCTCCTCCACCCCTGTGCCAACCCTCAAGCCCAGACCCATTACCCCGGTGTGGACTTCTCCTGCCCGGGGTAAGTCCCCGGTTGGTGCTCCTGCCCGCAGCATCCCTGCCAGGCGCCGCTCTCCTCGCCGCCTGGGGCACTGGTTTCGGACCTGGGACAGCGCGCAGCGCGCAGCCAACAGCCCCGCCCCTTCGCGGCGCCGCCAGGAGGCGCCTGGGTGCTGCTGTGCGCCTTTGCGCGCTGCGCAGCGGCTTTGCGCGCGGCGCTAACCTGTATAGGGCAGATCTGCCCGGAGACAAGTGACGAGACAGCCCCGCCCTGAGGCTGGGGTGGGAAAACTGGTGCTAGTGGGAAGGCAGGAGGCAGGGAGAGGCGGGAAGGGTGTGCCTGACGGAGAAAATTGGGCACCAGGGCTGCTCCCAAGATTCTCAGATCTGATTTCCACGCTTGCTCCCAAAATAGTCTGGGCGGGCCACTTTTGGAAGCAGGCGTATCTAGTGAGCAGGCGGCCGCTTTCGATTTCGCTTTCCCCTAAATGACTGCGCTTCTCGCCAGCGCAGGATCAGACTGTTCCTGGGACTTTCCGAGAGCTCCGCCCTCTCTCCCTCCCCCAGCCGCCTGTAGGGGAGGACTCCGCGATACCCAGAGCCTCAGGCCCCGCCGGAGCACGGAGAGTCCCAGGGCCGGCCGGGACCTGAACGGCGTCGGGGTGCCAATGGCTAGCTCTAGGTGCCCCGCTCCCCGCGGGTGCCGCTGCCTTCCTGGAGCTTCTCTCGCATGGCTGGGGACAGTACTGCTACTTCTCACCGACTGGGTGCTGCTCCGGACGGCGCTACCCCGCATATTCTCTCTGCTGGTGCCCACCGCGCTGCCGCTGCTCCAGGTCTGGGCGGTGGGCCTGAGCCGCTGGGCCGGGCTCTGGCTGGGGGCCTGCGGGGTCCTCAGGGCAACAGTTGGCTCCAAGAGCGAAAACGCAGGTGCCCAGGGCTGGCTGGCTGCTTTGGAGCCATTAGCTGCGGCACTGGGCTTGGCCCTGCCAGGACTTGCCTTGTTCCGAGAGTTGATCTCGTGGGGAGCTCCAGGGGCCGCGGATAGCACCAGGCTACTGCACTGGGGAAGTCACCCTAGCGCCTTCGTCGTCAGTTATGCAGCGGCACTGCCCGCAGCAGCCCTGTGGCACAAACTCGGGAGCCTCTGGGTGACCAGCGGTCAGGGCGTCTCTGGAGACCCCGTGCGTCGGCTTCTAGGCTGCCTGGGCTCGGAGATGCGCCGCCTCTCGCTGTTCCTGGTCCTGGTGATCCTCTCCTCTCTTGGTAAGGGGAAGGCAGGACAAGAGGGGAGGACATAAGGGGACCGGGACGGGAATCAAAAGTAATTGTCAGTGAGGTAGAGTAGCGTGGGTTCTGGGAAATGTGGAGCAGGGGAAGGAATCCTAGCATGGGTCTTGGAACACCACTTCAGTGTAGAAGAAACGGCATTGGACTGGCAGGGCCAGAAGTTCGAGGCTCGATTGCTGGCTGGGTCTTGATTCTCTGGGCCACGCCGGAGGCGGGGAAATCCTTTGCTCTGGGGCCGAAGGGCGGGGCATCCTCATCTCTAACAGGAGGCTTTTCTACTTCATGATCTCCAGCCTTCCTAATAAAATCCTGAAAGTTCTGGTAGAGCAACCACAGGGTAGTGAGTTCCAGGGCAGCCTATTTCGGTTCCGGATTGAGACGTCAGTGTTTCCTTTCTGCTGATGCCCTCCAGAATAATGGTGAGGGGGAGGAGGCGTGGTGGGACCAGTCTGACTGGAACTGACCTACTTAGACTTAATATTTGTTTGTGACCTGTCTTCTCTTTCTTCAGGGGAGATGGCCATTCCATTCTTTACAGGCCGTATCACTGACTGGATTCTACAAGATGGCTCAGCCGATACCTTCACTCGAAACTTAACTCTCATGTCCATTCTCACCATAGCCAGGTCTGGGGGCTGAAAATGGGGCACCCTGCAAATGAGGGAGTTGGAAATTGGGGCTGCTGTCCAAAATGCACTTATATGGGGATACCTGGACCTTCAGTCTGTTCCCTGAACACACCCTGACCCCCTTTTTTTTCCGGGTTCTTTCTAGTGCAGTGCTGGAGTTCATGGGTGACGGGATCTATAACACCACCATGGGCCACGTGCACAGCCACTTGCAGGGAGAGGTGTTTGGTGCTGTCCTGCGCCAGGAGACAGAGTTTTTCCAACAGAACCAAACAGGTTTCTCCTGAAACTCTTTCATTATACACCATGTACTGTTTATATCCTCATATATCTGCCTTGATCTCCCCCATCCCCGCTCTCTCTCTCTCCCTCTCACACACACACACACATTGTTCTTTCTCATTCTTGATATACCCTCTCTCTCTGTCTCTGTCTCTCCCTCTCTCTCTCACACACACACACACATACACACATTGTTCTTTCTCATTCTTGATATACCTCAGGAGCAAAATATTGTCCTCCTTACCTTAAGAAAAACCTAGAGTTTTCATCTAGCATTTTCTCATAAATCTATTCCTATGTATCCTTAGATAGAAACCATAGAATTTCAAACCTGGAAATTTTGAGCTCATAGAGACCAACTGCCTCATCTGACAGAGAAGGAAACTGAGGCCAAGACCCTAAATGTGAAACTGCACAGTTACATATGGCTAGAGACACACTTGGGGTTAGAACCCTGGTCTCTTGAGTGCTCCAGAGACTTCAGCATGCTTTCTAGCAGCACTAGAAACTGCACAGTTACATATGGCTAGAGACACACCTGGGGTTAGAACCCTAGTCCCAGTGAGTGCTCCACAGACTTTGGCATGCTTTCTAGCAGCACCCTCCTCCTCCATCTCTGTTATGTGACCAGTTTAAGCTCTTCCTGCCTGTGTGTATAGCATGGGACATACAGGTTCTTTAGGGAACAGAAAGCTTTCAGGAAAATGGAAATTCACATGTGCATCAATGACTTTATAATTAAAATGCAGGTCTTGGGTCAGGCCTTTCCTCTTTAACACTTATCCTCCCTGCACTGAGATTTGCAGACCTCTGCAGAACCCTAACATTGTTTTCTGCAGCCTCCTTAGAACCCCATACTGATGCCCTGACCCTGGCACCCTGGCTCATTGTTAGTTCCTGTCATCACTTGGAACCTGTCTGATTCACCTCACTCTTTTCTCCCCAACCCTGCAGGTAACATCACGTCTCGGGTAACAGAGGACACTTCTGCCCTGAGTGATGCTCTGAGTGAGAATCTGAGCTTATTTCTGTGGTACCTGGTTCGAGGCCTATGTCTCTTGGGGATCATGCTCTGGGGGTCAGTGTCCCTCACCATGGTCACCCTGGTCACCCTGCCTCTGCTTTTCCTTCTGCCCAAGAAGGTGGGAAAATGGTATCAGGTATGTTCATGGAGTTGGCCCGCACTACACAGACCCTCATCTCCCAGACTTGGCACACTCAGTTCCTCTCACATTGCTTTCAGTCCAACTTTCCTGGCGCCCTTACTGATTCTCCATCTTCATGGAACGCCCTGTCCCTCTGGTCCATGTTCCCAGGTTGCTCAACATTAATCTTCATACTCTCTGGGTCTTGTTTTCTAGCTTCTGCCCACAATCTATCATTAAGAATTTGATCCCCAACCCATTCTGAGTCATTTTCCTCTTCCTTGTATTTCTTTAGTATCTAAGGGACATAGCTGTGTCTCTTTCTCTTTTCCCCCTTTCCTCTGCCTCTTCTCACCTTTAATTTCCAAATAGGTGGAAATTAGTGTCCCTGATGGTTTGCCAACCCATGTGACATCTCTTGTCCATGTCTCCACAGTTGCTGGCAGTGCAGGTGCGGGAATCTCTGGCAAAGTCCAGCCAGGTGGCCATTGAGGCTCTGTCGGCCATGCCTACAGTTCGAAGCTTTGCCAACGAGGAGGGTGAAGTCCAGAAGTTTAGGGAAAAGCTGCAAGAAATAAAGACACTCAACCAGAAGGAGGCTGTGGCCTATGCAGTCAACTCCTGGACCACTAGTGTGAGCACCTGAAGATGAATACCCATTCCCTTGTCCTTAAGATGCTGTAACTCCATTCCCATTCCTATGACCCTGCTCCCACTCCGCCTTTACTGGGAAATGGTTGGAAATACCGGGTTTCACCATGTTAGCCAGGATGGTCTCAATCTCCTGATCCACCCGCTTCGGCCTCCAAAAGTGTTGGGATCACCGGCGTGAGCCACTGTGCCCGGCCGACTGTTTCCTCATTTTTCAAAAATGGAGTGATATAACCTTCTTTATAGGGCTCTTGGTATACTAGCTGACATCACATGAATGAAAGCCTCTTGCGAAGAGTAAAATGCTCCCCAGACAAGGTGATAGTGGTGATGGTGGTGAAGATAACCATGACTTCCATGATGTGCATTGAGTCAGACTCCCTGGGGTCTCTGGGTTATTCTCCTGTCTACCTATTGAGCCTACCGATGTCACTTGGGAGAAGGGGACTTGATATTTCCTTTCTGTGAATGACTGTGGTTCTTTGTGTCCCCTCCAGATTTCTCTACCTCAGTCCCTTTTTTTCTGTGGTCTCTGTAGATTTCAGGCATGCTGCTGAAGGTGGGAATCCTCTACATCGGTGGGCAGCTGGTGACCAGCGGGGCTGTAAGCAGTGGGAACCTTGTCACATTTGTTCTCTACCAGATGCAGTTCACCGTGGCTGTGGAGGTGAGGTCCTTCCACCTTCACTCCCCAGTGTGATTCCTTCCTCTGGCCCAGCACCATCTGTGTGATTTCTTTCCATTCTTTACCCTTCTCACTTCACATAATGCTGGCAAGCAGACTAGGTCTCCCACCTCACTTTCACTATTCTTACCTCCCTCTAGGTACTGCTCTCCGTCTACCCCAGAGTACAGAAGGCTGTGGGCTCCTCAGAGAAAATATTTGAGTACCTGGACCGCACCCCGCGCTGCCCACCCAGTGGTCTGTTGACTCCCTTACACTTGGAGGGCCTTGTCCAGTTCCAAGATGTCTCCTTTGCCTACCCAAACCGTCCAGATGTCTTAGTGCTACAGGTACAACCTACCACTCCCTGTATTCCACTGGCCCCAACTATAATTCTGCCATCCTACATTTTCTTCCTGCCTTCAGCCTGCTTACTGCCAAGCATATATCCTTCCTAACCCTTTAAAGGTAATGGTAAGCATTGTCTGTTCCATAAATCTTCCCCAAACTCAAGAACCCAGTTTGGGCTTCCAAAGAGAATGGGAGAAGAGGTTTCGAAGCGAGTGCTCTCACATTCCAAGGAATTGCTGCAGGAAAATCTGTGTCTTCGGTCTTCCATCTTTCCTTCTCCTTTGTAATTTGGAATGTGATTTTTCCATTTCCTGGTGGTATCTGACATCAAGTGTGTGGCATAGTGGTGCTGGGTGTCTGCCCTTGTCTTTGCCACATCTTCTATCTCTACTCCTTGGGGAGGCATCACCCAGACAGAGATCCGTGCATGTGGCGGGGTAGGAGTTGCTATGTTTCCCTGTTTTTCTTCTGGGGTAAGACATCATGCTATGTAACAAGGCAATATCACCCTCTAGGTTAGAGGCCTTGGTAGCCTCTTATTGTGTGCTTCTCTGGCCTCTAGGGGCTGACATTCACTCTACGCCCTGGCGAGGTGATGGCGCTGGTGGGACCCAATGGGTCTGGGAAGAGCACAGTGGCTGCCCTGCTGCAGAATCTGTACCAGCCCACCGGGGGACAGCTGCTGTTGGATGGGAAGCCACTTCCCCAATATGAGCACCGCTACCTGCACAAGCAGGTATGCAAGAAGGTGGCATGAAGGAAGGCAGGGAACATCAAATAAGAAGAGCGTTCTTACTGAGCACTCTGAAAGGGGAGTTAGGGAATGATAAGAGACCTTGGGTGGAGATGGTGGTGTGGTCAGGAGGGAGGTAGTATGATTTCGTGACATGTTCTCAATAAAGATTTTGAGTCTTCGATCTCCAGATAACCATACTCCCGTGTGCCTTGTTCTATGACTCTTCATCATATTTCATCAGGTGGCTGCAGTGGGACAAGAGCCACAGGTATTTGGAAGAAGTCTTCAAGAAAATATTGCCTATGGCCTGACCCAGAAGCCAACTATGGAGGAAATCACAGCTGCTGCAGTAAAGTCTGGGGCCCATAGTTTCATCTCTGGACTCCCTCGGGGCTATGCCACAGGTACTGTCTCCACTCATCTCACCACCCGGCCATCTTTACCTTTGCTGAAACCCCAGTAGTCTTGCCTTTATCCTTCAGTTCCTCCTGACTCATGGACATCAATTTGAAGTTGTAAGATCGTGCTCCTATGGCTTCTTCATCCTGACATCCTCAGGATTCTGTTCACGCTCCCAGAATCTCCCCTATCCAGCTACAACTGTCAGATCTTGGTGTGTGGGAGTGCGTGAATGCATGAGTGTGTCTGTGTGCATGTGCGTGTGTGTACATGTACGCACACATATGGCTATACAGTTCTCATCTTGGCCCTTTGCTCTGCAGAGGTAGGCGAGGCTGGAAGCCAGCTGTCCGGGGGTCAGCGACAGGCAGTGGCGTTGGCCCGAGCATTGATCCGGAAGCCATGTGTACTTATCCTGGATGATGCCACCAGTGCCTTGGATGCAAACAGCCAGTTACGGGTGAGGCAGTCATCTTCTTCATGCCTATATCCCACCCCATCTTGCCTCTTTTATACATCTTCCATTAGTTTTACTAACATCATAATTATACAAACCAGTCCTTGCAATTCTCAGTTCCCAAATCCAGTTCCATTCGATGCCTCCCCAAGGAGTAGAGATAGAAGACAAGGCAAAGATAAGATACCTAGAACCAGTTAAAAGAGACTATCTACAAACCACAGACTGAATTTCTTTCTTTCATTTTTTTTTTTTTTTATTTGGACAATATCTGACTCTGTTGCCCAAGCTGGAGCACAGTGGCACAATCTTGGCTCACTGCAACCTCAACCTCCTGGGCTCAAGCGATTCTCCCCTCAGCCTCCAGAGTAGCTGGGACTACAGACATACACCACTATGCCTGGTTGACTTTTGTATTTTTAGTAGAGATGGGGTTTCACCATGTTGCCCATGCATGAGTGTGTCTGCGTGCATGTGCGTGTGTGTACATGGCCTTGAATTCCTGAGCTCAGGTAGTCTGCCCACCTCAGCCTCCTAAAGGGCTGCAGTTATAGGTGTGAGCCACTGAGCCCAGTCCTATAGACTGAATTTCTAAAGCGAAACATAACGAAAAAGCCATCCTCATAATATTATTTTTAAATTTTTTTTTGTACAGACAGGGTCCCACTATGTTGCCCAGGCTGGCCTTGAACTCCTGGGCTCAAGTAATCTTCCCACCTTGACCTCCCAAAGTGCTAGGATTATAGGCATGAGCCTCTGGGCCCAGCCCATCCTAATCATATTAATATTAATTAAGCTAGTCTCTTTACACACACTGCCACTCATTTGTTCATTAGGAATCCTTCTGAGCTAGGCATTTATCATCATTCTACAGATGACAAAATGGAGGCTAAAAGAGATTGAATAAGCTGCTCATATAGAGGTCATATAACTTTTGAGTGGTATAGCCTTGACCCAAATTTGGATCTGCCTGACTTGAAGGCTCACCTCTTTACTACTAAGTTATATTTCCTTAAAATCTAATATAAAAATTCCAAGTCCATGGGTAGAGAAGAGGACTATTCAATAGTCTTTATTTTTCTGTCATGTGTTTCACTCTAGGACTCTCACTTTTATCCCACTTTCGCACCCTTCATTTAAAACAGTTCTTATGAAACAAAGGGTTTGCAGAGAAGTACTCAGAATGGGAAACTTTGGTGTCCTTAGGGTTGTTGGCAGAGTCAGCAGTGATCCTGTGAGGTCAGTCCCAGCCCTGGAAACAAAGGTGGCTCCCTGGGCTCCCAGCTCTGACGGTCCGATGTCTTTCCTCAGGTGGAGCAGCTCCTGTACGAAAGTCCTGAGCGGTACTCTCGCTCAGTGCTTCTCATCACCCAGAACCTCAGCCTGGTGGAGCAGGCTGACCACATCCTCTTTCTGGAAGGAGGCACTATCCGGGAGGGGGGAACCCACCAGCAGCTCATGGAGAAAAAGGGGTGCTACTGGGCCATGGTACAGGCTCCTGCAGACGCTCCAGAATGAAAGCCTTCTCAGACCTGCGCACTCCATCTCCCTCCCTTTTCTTCTCTCTGTGGTGGAGAACCACAGCTGCAGAGTAGGCAGCTGCCTCTAGAAGGAGTTACTCGAAATTTACTTTGAGTGTGTTACCTCCTTTCCAAGCTCCTCATGATAATGCAGACTTCCTGGAGGACAAACACAGGATTTGTAATTCCTTGGTGTGACTGGGTTTAGAGCCAGGGTTGATGCTTTGGTGTGGCCAGCACTCTGAAAACTGAGAAATGTTCAGAATGTACAGAAAGATGATCAGCTATTGTCAATAGGACTGAAGGCGTATGCTGGCCCATAAACACCCTGTAGGTGCTTGATATTTATAATAAAATTGGTGTTTTGTACTGTGGTTTCTTATGTTTCCGGCCCACCAAAGTGCAGCGCACTTTTCAGCGCGGGGTGTCTCGTCTTTTATCATCCTCAATGTTTTACCCCCTAAGTGCATCATCTTTTCCCTTAAGCTTTTTAATTCCTATGAGGCCCCTTCCACTTCCCCCATCCCCTTACGCCCACCCCCAAGAATGAGCAAGACCCCGGCTACAGGGCCCACCAAGGCACCAGCGGCCGCAGCTCAGAGCCGTGGCCTCTCCCAGGTGGCAGATGGGGTGGGCGCGGCCAGAGCAAGTGCCAGGGGGGAACGGAGGGACTGGGCGCGCCTCACAACTCACCACCTCGCCTGCTTCGGTCCTTCCTGGTTCGCCTGGCTGCGAAGCGGCACCTGGAGGGGAAACCTCAGAACAGTAGGCGGGATTGTCTAGTAAATATCTCCCATTCAGGGAGGTCCAGGTCGTGTGACGTCGACAGTTGCTGGGTAGATGAGGCCAACACATGTTGCAAGGAGAGGCGGGGTTTAGAGGCGAGAAACTCCGCAGGGCTTGGCCAAGCAAGGAGCAATGCTAGGAAGGGCGGGCAGAAGGGGCACGCTCTTGTGGGTAACTACAGGTTAGGAGACCGTTGAACCGGGAGGGGCCCTAGGATGGATGCCGTGGAAAGATTCAGAGACTGCGCCCTCTCCCTGGCGCCCCCTTCCCCTACACGCGGCGGTTATATTCTGTTGCAGTTGCCCCAGGACCTGTTCCCAAGACCCTGCCCCCTCTCGCTTCCGTCCCTCCTGGTTTTGTAAAGTGATGCTCATAGGAACCCCCACCCCGCGTGAAACTACTCCCAGCTCCTGGCTGACTTCCAGTCTTCTGGTTGAGGCTGCGCCTTTAGATGACACGACCCTACCCACCCCTGTTTCCAGCAGATGCCCAAGCCTGGAAGTACCTCTTACTGTAACCCATCGCCAAGGGGGCTTTTGAAGGCGCCCGTCGCTTTCTCGCTTTCTTCGGACAACCCTTGACCCATCGTTCTCCCGACCCCCATAAAGGGAGAGCAGAGAAGACGGTCCCCAATATGATAGTCCTGGTCCAGGCACTAACTGTCCTTTTCTCGGAAAAGGCAGGGGGATGTGGAAAAGATTCTGGTTCCCTCCCCTTCGATCTGTGGCTTTCGCTTTCGCTTCCTCCTCCGAGAACCGACAGATCTCCGGGTGCTGGGCGGTCATGGCTCTACTGGATGTATGCGGAGCCCCCCGAGGGCAGCGGCCGGAATGGGCTCTCCCGGTCGCGGGAAGCGGGCATCGCTCGGACCCAGGACACTACAGTTTCTCTATGCGATCTCCAGAGCTCGCCTTACCCCGGGGAATGCAGGTCGGGGCTGTAGGGGAACCCTCAGGGATGAGGGAAGGCGGGTGCTGAGGAGTGGAGGGTCGCCTGAGAGGAGGAGGCGAGAGCGGGAGCGCGGGGGACAGGGTGGGGGGCAGCCTTCAGTCCTGGAGAGCGCCAGACCCAAAGAAGAGGCCACGTGGGGATGGGGCCTGAGAGGAGGAAGTGCAGGTTAGAATAAAGAGTTACAGGTGAGGTGGGGGCTCCCAAAGGAAGACAAGAGAACTTTCCTGCCCTTGTCCACACACAAATCGTGGGGCCTTTTTCATGGGGTTATCACATGATATAGGAGCTGTGTGGTGTCTTGGGAAACCTATGAACTTTGCCTGCTGGCCTCGTCTCAGCAACTCACTTTTGCGCGACTTAGAACAAGTCACTTAGTCTAGGTCCCAAGCCCCTCTTCTGTAAAATGAGGATACTGTTACTAAACGGTGTTTTTTGAGGGTCGAATGGTTTTTGCATGGAAGAAACACTTTAAGTCACTCTCAAAGTTTTTTCGTTATGGTAACAAGTGCTTGCTTTCATTTCTATTGTGCTGGAAAATGGAAAAGGTTGATACAGCATACCTCTTCTTTTCCTTCTCCCAAGTCATTTCCTTCTAGAGATTGGTTATTAACTGTTTCATTTATTGATGGTTAGATGATTTGTGCATATCTCCTCACCCTCATACTCTCTAAAACCTTTTCCTGGAGCCTCTTACTACAGAATGTTTCATTGCCTTTCTCTACCTCTTTTCTCTTATTAGCCCACAGAATTCTTCCAGTCTCTGGGTGGGGACGGAGAAGGGAACGTTCAGATTGAGATGGCTCATGGCACCACCACGCTTGCCTTCAAGTTCCAGCATGGAGTGATTGTAGCAGTGGATTCTCGGGCCTCAGCTGGGTCCTACATTGGTGAGTCTATACACTCCAGCAGGCTCCAGAATCTGGGGAGCTGGGCTCCCCTTTCTACAGGAGGCCAACTCTGCAGCAAAGTGGAAGTGGATATTGATTTAGGACACACTGGGGGATCTGTGGGGTCATCCCTTCTCTCCCAAAACTCCATCTTCTTCCAGCTACCTTACGGGTGAACAAGGTGATTGAGATTAACCCTTACCTGCTTGGCACCATGTCTGGCTGTGCAGCAGACTGTCAGTACTGGGAGCGCCTGCTGGCCAAGGAATGCAGGTAAGTGAGGCCTCTCATCTTCCTTTCTTAGTCTAGTGGTTAATCCCTGGATCTCTCAGATCATTGCTCCTTACTCTTGTCCTATGTGGTCCATCTTAGTGCTAATAGCATATTTCACAAAACAGCTTTTTGGTGATAAGAACCTTCTCCCGTAGGCCGGGCGCGGTGGCTCAAGCCTGTAATCCCAGCACTTTGGGAGGTCGAGACGGGTGGATCACGAGGTCAGGAGATCGAGACCATCCTGGCTAACATGGTGAAACCCCGTCTCTACTAAAAAATACAAAAAACTAGCCGGGCGGGGTGGCGGGCGCCTGTAGTCCCAGCTACTCTGGAGGCTGAGGCAGGAGAATGGCATGAACCCGGGAGGTGGAGCTTGCAGTGAGCTGAGATCCGGCTACTGCACTCCAGCCTGGGCGACAGAGCAAGACTCCGTCTCAAACAAACAAACAAACAAAAAAAGAACCTTCTCCCAAATCTCAGCCTGTGCTCCACACATAAGCCAGATAATATGTCAGTTATTTAGCACTGACACATCCACCCTCGTGGGATAGTATCATTTACTAGGCTGCCTTTGTATGTTTCAGATACTTTAAATTCCAAATCTTTCCCTCATCTTTAGATCCTACAAAATAATTCCTTTCCAATGCTTATCTCTTCAATCGTTTCCTGTCTCATCAAGTTGGAAAGAGCTAACCTCCCTTCCCTTACTCCACTTTGTCTTCACCCAGGCTGTACTATCTGCGAAATGGAGATCGTATTTCAGTGTCGGCAGCCTCCAAGCTGCTGTCCAACATGATGTGCCAGTACCGGGGCATGGGCCTCTCTATGGGCAGCATGATCTGTGGTTGGGATAAGAAGGTGGGTGCTCTTCATTCTCCATGTTTCCCCACCATGTCCCCCATGGATGACATATGTGTTTCCCATCATATGCTCCTACTCCCTCCCTGACAAGATGCAAGGCATATAGAATGCTTGGTTATAGAACTGTTCCAGTATATCCATGGACTATTTATTGACCCAGATATGAATCATTTCGTGTGTTTTGTAAGCTTGTCCCCCTTTTGTTAAATAGTTGATTTCAAGTTTGTTTTTTCTTTTTTATTTCTAAAGTTCTATGACTTTACCAGAGTGATTTCCTAATTCCAGTGTTCTTGTGGTAATATTAATTCTTTTGTCCACTTTTTATGACTCACATTTGAACCTCCATATTACCAACATCTTCCTCTCCAATTTCAGCCTGAAATCTTTCATCTTACAGGGTCCTGGACTCTACTACGTGGATGAACATGGGACTCGGCTCTCAGGAAATATGTTCTCCACTGGTAGTGGGAACACTTATGCCTACGGGGTCATGGACAGTGGCTATCGGCCTAATCTTAGCCCTGAAGAGGCCTATGACCTTGGCCGCAGGGCGATTGCTCATGCCACTCACAGAGACAGCTATTCTGGAGGCGTTGTCAATAGTAAGAGACCAATGCTCCCACCCTCATGTCTGGGAGGAATCAGCGGGCGGTTGGGGGGTGACTTAAGATTGAGAAACTAGCCTGGCCAAGATGAAACCCCAACTCTACTAAAAATACAAAAATTAGCCGGACATGGTGATGGGTGCCTATAGTCCCAGCTACTTGGGAGGCTGAGGCAGGAGAATCACTTGAACCTGGGAGGTGGAACTTGGCAGTGAGCCAAGATCATGCCATTGCACTCCAGTCTGGGCCACAGAGCGAGACTCTGTCTCAAAAGAAAAAAAAAAAAGATTGAAAGACTCAAAGGAGGGAGAGTGGTAGGAAGGAAATTTTCAGAGTCAGAAGAAGGGCACTAAAGGCCCAGTCATACGGTTTTAAGCCTGCGCATGTGTCTTGTTGCTGCCTTCAACGTAACATCAGTGACAGGAACTTGCTGAGCTGAAAGGTGACTCTGAGTTCTTTTCTTATTTGTCCACAGTGTACCACATGAAGGAAGATGGTTGGGTAAAAGTAGAAAGTACAGATGTCAGTGACCTGCTGCACCAGTACCGGGAAGCCAACCAGTAATGGTGGTGGTGGCAGCTGGGCAGGTCTCCTCCGGGAGGGCTTGGCCGACTCAGGGACCTGAGCTACATTAAGTCCCAGAAGAAGAGGCCTAGCCTGAGCCAAAGACAGAGTACGGGGCTCAGCAGCCAGAGGAGGTGGTGAAGTGCATCTTCTGCGTGTTCTCTATTTGAACAAGTGTTTCCCCCAGGGAAGCTTCTGGGTGCCCCACTAAGTAGAATAAAGAAAAATGGTTATAAATACCTCTTGTGGCTGAATGGAGTTGGGCCTGTGGTTGTTGGGTGGGGCAGGAAATAAAGGGACACTTTTTCTGGAGAAGAGACTCAGACCCTTATCTAAGAAATGTGGCCTTACCACATATTTCTTCCTGGGGTTTCCTTCCACACTCATCTCTTCAAGACCTCAGGAAGGCTGTTCATTGTTGTCCATGGACATTTATTTGCAATTTCACATAGGTTAGGGTCCTTTCCATAGAGGGACACCTGGGGACTCCTGTGTGCTCCATTGTTAATGGTTTGAGGAACAGGGAGTAGGGCACCTAGGATAACTGTTTTTGACTTTACAGAGTGGGATGAAAAAGCTTCCACTTCACCTTAACACGGTAATCATATAAACACCATACCATTTACCCCAAATAACACTTTGGAGATATTGGATATTGAATATAAAGACAGACATTAGGGGACCAGTTCCATGATGTGTCATGCTGAATTGCAAGATGACAGGACTATAATTCTAGAGGAAGAAGAGATCAGGGGGACTCCCCTAAGTGAGGAGTGCAGGGAAAATGTGAAAGGCCCAGGTTAGAAGAAAAAGACACACATCATGAGATTTTCGGAATCATGCTGGAACTAGGGACCGCGCCGCTTTCCAGAGAATAAAGGAAACAAATGCTTGAAAGTAGGAGCATGAGCTTGAGCATGGAACTTTCTTCATTAGAGAGAGATACTTAAAATTCCAGAATGAATAGAGTTGTAAAAACTTTGGCGAGTCCCTACTTAAAATCCCTCCTCCCCACCACCACTGTTTTAAACTTTAAGTGACTCCTTGGTAGTCACACAGATAACATCTCAAAAAGGTGATTTGGAATCCAAGCGACCCTTCCTTTGGGGATTTTTTTGTTTCTTTTTAGTTTGGGAGGTGGTTTCAATCTGAAGAGTCCTTTCTGGAATAAACGAATCTTTCTGTTGCATAGGTAGGCTCTGGGTCAGGAAGGATATTTAGAAACCTGATTACTGTTCTAAACAGTGTTAAAATAGAACAAGAACCAAAGCCCAGTACCGTGCATTTCCCTCATAGGCTGAAGGTGGGCCCAGCATAATTTGGAATACAGGCTTAGAGGCATCTGAGCACGTGCCAGCTCAAGGTGCTCTGCTGAGGAGGACGGATGAAGAGAAGGACGGATGAAGAGGTCAGGGCCTCCTAAATTCAAAATCTGTACATGAAAATCCCCTTTGGCCTGGTGAGATTGGTTGGAACCTTCTATTTAGGAGAGCCCGGCATACTTTTTCGCTCGCCTAAAACTGGAACTTGCATGGAACAGGGCACTTTTTTCTTTTTTTTTTTAAGACAAAGTCTCGCTCTTGTCGCCCAGGCTGGAGTGCAATGACCTGACCTCGGCTCACTGAAACCTCTGTCTCCTGAGTTCAAGCGTTTCTCCTGCCTCAGCCTCCCAAGTAGCTGAGATTACAGGCGTCTGCCACCACGCCCTGGCTAATTTTTGTATTTTTAGTAGAGGCAGAGTTTCTCCATGTTGGCCAGGCTGGTCTCGAACTCCTGACCTTAGGTGAATCCGCCCGCCTCGGCCTCCCAAAGTGCTGTGATTACAGGCGTGAGCCACCGCAAGAGGGCACTTCTTAACAGTAAGTTCAGAGGTTGAAGTAGTAACAGAAAATTTAGTGATTCTCCAATTACAAAGCATTCTTCAATTACAAAGCAAGGAAAACAGATAAAGTTGTCCTTGAGACAACTGTATTTTACTTAATGATAAAGAAACATTTTTGCAGTTTTATATACCAGAGTAACCACCACTAAGGGTGAGTGAGACTCATTGAGGACTGTGCCTTGCGAACCAGAGTTCAGGCTCCCATTCCGCTGTCTGCGGGTCTCGCGCGCCCCCTCCCGGCGGCCCACCCCAGAATGAAGGCCTCGGCTGCGGAAGCGAAAGCGAAAGCGAAAGCTGCTCGAGCCCTGACGCCCGCCCTGGCTGAGCGTAGCTGGCTGTCTAGAGCCGGTAGCGAAGTTGGGAGAGGCGGAGCGGACCTCAACGCTGAAGCAGAAGACCCCGGAGCTGCAGTCTCCCCGGCGCGGCTGGTGAGTTGGTGCGGAGAGGAACCTGGAGCGCCAACAGGGACGCAGCCCAAGTGACTACCCACTCTGCGCTCCAGTTTCCCAGTCCCTCTGCACCCGGCGATAAGAGGCAGCGGAGCCCGGACCGCTTAGCTCGCTGCCGCAGACGGGGGTGGGGGTGGGGGTGGGGGTGGGGGTCCGGGGAATTTTTTTTTTTTTTTTCAAGCACGGGGCCCCTGATGGTTATGGCTCCAGCTCCCCAGGCAGGCCGAAAGCTGTCTGTTTTAGGAGGGGTGTACGGATGAGCACCGGTTACTCAGGAGAGCTCTCAGGGTCGAATAGGATAAAATGAGAAGCCGATGGACGGTTGGGCGAAGCCAGGCGGGTAGGAGGGCAGGGACAAGGACTGGGACTCCACCCCCATAATTTCTCATCTCGTATCCTTGACAGAGCCATGCCGCTCCCTGACCTGAGACCCTGGACCTTCCTGCTGCTGGTGGACGCGGCTTTACTATGGCTGCTTCAGGGCCCTCTGGGGACTTTGCTTCCTCAAGGGCTGCCAGGACTATGGCTGGAGGGGACCCTGCGGCTGGGAGGGCTGTGGGGGCTGCTGAAGCTAAGAGGGCTGCTGGGATTTGTGGGGACACTGCTGCCCCCACTCTGTCTGGCCACCCCCCTGACTGTCTCCCTGAGAGCCCTGGTCGCGGGGGCCTCACGTGCTCCCCCAGCCAGAGTCGCTTCAGCCTCTTGGAGCTGGCTGCTGGTGGGGTACGGGGCCGCGGGGCTCAGCTGGTCACTGTGGGCTGTTCTGAGCCCTCCTGGAGCCCAGGAGAAGGAGCAGGACCAGGTGAACAACAAAGTCTTGATGTGGAGGCTGCTGAAGCTCTCCAGGCCGGACCTGCCTCTCCTCGTTGCCGCCTTCTTCTTCCTTGTCCTTGCTGTCTTAGGTGAGTCGGGAGAGGACGTTGTGAGTTGGAGGTGGAAAAAGGGCCTGGGCACCAGTACATTCATGTGTTATTTTTCATGCCTCTCTCAGGTGAGACATTAATCCCTCACTATTCTGGTCGTGTGATTGACATCCTGGGAGGTGATTTTGACCCCCATGCCTTTGCCAGTGCCATCTTCTTCATGTGCCTCTTCTCCTTTGGCAGGTGGGTGATGGGCAGCTGGGTCCATTTGCTAGCCCCAAATCTTTACAGGGGTCTTCACTTCCCTAAGTCTATTTCTAGGCCCTTTCAGGCGCAAAGCACAAATACTCAAAACTAAAATATGGCGAATGTAGTCACCATTCTGTTTCATCTATCCATTCATTTCTTCCTTCATTCATATTCATCCAATATCTTCAAAGTTTATCTGATCTTATTATGGGTACAAGTTATGAGTGAAGGTAGTACAGAAGGAATTGAAGTCTCAGATGGAATGTCTCTCAACATTCTTAGGCCCATGAAATTCCATTTCTTTCTGCCTCCTACCGCTAAGCCTGTCTCCAAAGTATCTCTCCAGGGTCACTCTCTCCTCCGGACGGGCATGCTTCTCCCTCTCACTCTTCTTTCCCAACTTACCTTGCCAGTCCCTGAAGCTCTTACTCTGAGCTTATCACCTTTCTTTCCAGAATCATTACTCTTTTCCCTTCACTTGCTTTCCCTTCTCTTTCTAGACATAAACAAACAAACTGTTTGATAAGGCTTGGACTGGGATGAGGTGAGTGAGGCACCTGGGGTGTAAAGTTTAAGGAGGTGCGCACTCACCTTACCCAAATCCCAGCCGGCCTGATTGTCTCTATTTTTATGGTCATACTTAATTTAGAATACCCTCAAAAACCATTTCTTCATTGTGCCTTCATTCCATCCTGGCTGCTTTCTGCTGAAACTACAGTCATGCACTGCATAATGATGTTTAGGTCAATGATGGGCCACATATGAGATGGTGGACCCACAAGATTATAATACCATATTTTTACTGTACCTTTTCTATGTTTAGATACACAAATACTTCTGTGTTACAGTCACCGACAGTGTTAGGGGCAGTCATATGTTGTACAGATTTGTTGCCTAGGAGGAATAGGCTAAACTACATGGCCCAGGTGTGCAGTAGGCTATGACATCTAGGTTTGTGTAAGGACATTCCACGATGCTCACACAACGATGAAACTAATGACACATTTCTCAGAATGCATCCCTTTCATTAAAGTCCAAACCCTCATTATATGATGTCTGACTATTCCAAATGCTTCAATATGGCAACTAAATTTGTGTTAGAAACATATGTGTTGTAAAATACCCGCTTTTATGCTTTTATATTTTTTCCTCTAAGTTTTACTGTGGACATGTAGTTGGTCTAAGAGGAATTCTCCAACCTGAAGGATGAAAGATGGGAACCACGTGACTCGGGCTCCAGAGAATGGTGGGGGCAGGGAGTTTATTACTGCAGTTCCCATGATGAAGTATCTATGATGACAGGGAAGGGCTTTGGGTATGGGGGCAGGAAGGAGACGAAGGCAGAGGAGACACACAGAGGGACAAGCCTGAGGGAGGCCAGGACAGAAACAAGCACTGGGATACTTGTTTTCACAATATCTTTTCCCTTCTATCGTAGCCTTCTATTGTGTCTAGTACAGAGTGCACTCCATAAATACTTGTGAATTTGTACATGTTATGATTTTGTTCTCACATCTAGCTCACCATGTCTCCCCTTTCTTCTTCCTCTGTGTATTCGTTGCCTCTTCTCTCTCTGTGTGTCTGTCTCTCATTTCTTTCTCTTTGGCCTCTCCTGGCATGCTTTCCCCCGACTTTGTGCTTCTCTGCACTCTGGGCTTGCTCCTCTGTTTCACCCGCTGGCTTGCTCCTTCTCTGCGTCTCCCTCCCCTCTCATCTCCTACCCCGCAGCTCACTGTCTGCAGGCTGCCGAGGAGGCTGCTTCACCTACACCATGTCTAGAATCAACTTGCGGATCC